ATTGTATATATATATATATATACATTATTAAGTATAATACTTATAATCGATTTACTCAACCATCATGTATGTTGTGATCACAATTCTAACTCTCTATTCTGTCCATGTTTTTACTTATAGTATATTTAATGGATTACAATTCTTAAAATAAAATAAATAAAATAAAATAAAATAAATAGATGCCCTACCTATGACCTGTACGTTTTTAATTTCTAATCAGAAATCAGAGCACAATAAATTTAGAGCGTTTTTTTAAAATGTTCATACATATTCATTTTTTTAGGCTACAATTTATCTTTTGATACTCTAAGATAAACATATCGATTAATCTAAGACATATATTTATATATAATAAAACATAATCTTCTTCTTCTTTTTTTAAATGTGATGCATGTTGTCCTTTTACCTCAGCTTACAAAAACAATTGGTCTTGTTATCTGTTAATAATGGTCTGAGATGCTCATTAATAAATACATCATGATATAATTGTTCTTAAGTTGTTATGATTCCTGAAGGATTAAGAAAAAAAATGTTCAAAAGTATTCTTAAGATTGCATTTGATTATAACACTAATTTCAAAAAATATGACCAAAACTCAAATATTTGCTCCAAAGGCTATCATGTCATGTTTTTATGCCACAAAGTCCACATAGCATTGAATTGGACTTTAGTATTATTGATTTAATGTTCATCTTTATTGTATCCTGATGATCTTACAAATATATAATATATAAATTATTTACTAATCATATAAAAAAACCACATCACATTCTAATCAAAGTGCACATAACCTTTGGTTTACTTCAAACCTTATCCAAGTACAATGTAAGCTTATAATTTTAATTAGGAAAAAATTAAAAAAATTAAAAAATTAATGTTAAAATTCTATATAATTATTATTTAAAATAAGATTCTGCAAGAATTCGGGCTTTGGTTGAGCAAGAATAATCGCTAGAAAAGTTCAATATTATTACATGCAAAGATAACAAGCAGTAAGAGGTATATTAAATTAATTCATAAATAACTAATAATACCTAAAGGACATTGCTTCAAATTTTTGGTCTATTAATTTTATACATTGGTGATTTCATAAAAAAAAAATCAAGATAAGTTAATTTATGCTCACTTTTCATTAATTAATTCACATACCTAAGAAAGTAAAATTTGATTCTGAAACCTTGAAAAAATAAATACTAAAGAATGGAATAATTATAAATTTATAAATATTTAGAACTAATTTAATTTTTGAACATACAAAAATATAATGAAACAAAATAAATATTTTACATATATATATATATATAGATGTAATGCAATTTTATATCACAATCAAAACTCCAACACAAAAAAAAAAAAAAAAAAAAAAAAAAAAACAAAACAAAACAAAACAAAACAAAAAAAACAAAAAACAAAAAACAGAAAACAAAAACAAAAACAAAAAAAAAATGTGGACTTTTTTAAAAAATTATATGTAAGACCATGGTATTAAATTGATTTTTTTTTATGGATAATCTGATGACATATTGCATTTCTTCTAGTCTAACACATGAAAAAATTTATTTTTCTGTGTAAATTAAATAAAATAAATAGTATTGAATCAAAAGCTTATGAAAAAACTTTATAAAACTTAAGATTGTACAATCAAATAAATTTACATTTTTTATGTAGGTCTTTTGAAATAGATTCATTGATATTTTTTCTTTGTATTAGTACTTTGATTTTCATCAAGTTCAAAATTCAGTTTTAAGCTTTTTAAAATTAGAATTTAAATAAAATATCCTAACCTCTCAGGCATATATGAAACAAAATATAAAATATGAATAACTAAAGTTGTTTTTAAATATCTGATTGATATTAAGTTGAACAACATCATTTTCCAATTTTTTAAAATTAAAAATTATATTCACTAATATGTTTTTAACTATCAATTTTTTTTGTTTACTTATTAGAAAACAACATTTATTTCCATCAGATTTTATCAAGTTGCACTTGTTCAAGGCATATGCAGTGAATTTGTTAAAATTGTTGAGAATACCACACCTACGATTTAATTATTTTGAGTGCTTTTAAAAGTTTCAACCAAATTTATATTTAGATTATCTGTTTGAAAGTTATTTGTTTCAAATTATAGAAATTAGATGCTGCAATGAACAAGATTTTCACATTCTGGCTTGACCTGTTTTGAAATTTGGTCACAAATGTTTTGTTGTACGAATCAAGGTTAAATGTAAGAAATACTTTTTATTTTTTAAAATAATTTATATAGAATATTTTCATATATTGTATGTATATTTTTTATTTAAATTTTCTCCTTTTTTCTTTTTTTTTAATGTCAAAAAATAAGTTTTTACAAATATGGATGTAAAATCTCTAAAAATTTCATGTAATTAATATATATATATATATATATATATATAGATAACTATTTTAAAAAATTAGAAAAAATATAAAATGTGAAAATTATGAAAGTGAAATTTTATTTAACTTATCAAAAAAAGAGATGAAATAAAATTAATTGAATAAATGAACTTGAGTAGATTATTAAAAAAAAATACTTAAACCAAAAAAATTATATAGGATGCACCTCTATAGTTTATTGGCATATTGGTTCTATAGCTTGATTAATTATTATGGAAATTTTTAAAAATATTTATTAAATTAATATAATAATAACAATGATAATAGTAGTAGTAACAAATATTATTATCATCTAAAAATATTTAATTTATATGTATATATATATATAATATTTATTATTATTATCTTTAGTTGTAAGAAAAAAGTATTCATTTTCAAAGGTTATTAATGATCTTTACTAAGTCCCTACAATATAGATTGCTTGATTTTGCTCTAGTAACCATGTGATCTTGTCTTACTCATCCACTTACTCACCACATATAGCTACATAGCCTTGCTTTGTCCAATTATGTATAGTCATGAGGTCTTACTAAATATGTTGTTTTGTCATGTGTTGTCATATTTGAGAATACACTTGGCTATAAAATATAAACTTGTATGTTTTAACCAAGAATCTTAAAAAATTCTAATAAAATCCTAAATAAACATAATTTAATTCTACTTAATCTTAAATATGCCCTAAAAAATCCAAATCAATCCTAAAGATATTATAACTAATTTAAAGTAGATCAAAGTCTTATTCATTATTATTTTAAATTTTGATCCAAATTTTGCATACCTATTAATCTCTTAATTGAAAACAAGCTTGAGAAATTTGAAGAAAATTAGACTTACACATTAAGAAAATTTTCATAGAATTTGCTTAGGTGTTGGTCAACCTCCTTGATGTTAGGTTTCTAGCATCAATATCTTTTTTTGCATATTTTAATTGCTTTTTAAAAAATTCCAAATGTTGAAAAATAAGTCAACAACCAACTTACAAAGTTTCACTTTAATCTATTTGGTAAGTTTCTAAAATCCTAAAAAACCATGACTTATCTTCAAACTTTAATTCTCAAGACTCAATATATATATATATATATATATAAGTCTACCTTATTTTGCCTTATTTATGGTCCTACAAGTATTAGTTTCTTTAACTAAAAGAGTCGCATAGATATTATTTTTATACACCTTCATATTTTTTAACTTTAATTTCTAAATAAATTACTTATTTGTTTGTTTATAGATTCTAATTAAATCCTTTGATAATATAGGTCTTCTTTTGTTCTTTGTCCAATAGCCATCTTATAACAAAACAACATAAGATTTATAACACTATTAAAAATAGGGAATCTACTTACTTTCAAAATATTTCAAAATTGTAAAATTTATCAAGATTTTTTTTCCAAAGTAGCAAGCAATGTAAAAATTATTTGTAGCATTCTTAAGTATTCTGAAATCAAACCTTGTGACATTTTTTATTACATTCCTGAGGTGTTATGTGTGGAGTTTGTAGATTCTGTTAATATATATATATATATATATATATACATATGAAAGCAATGAAGTTGCACAAAGATCTTTACATTTATTACAACTATTTTCTACTCTATTAAATGTTCTAAACATTTCATTTATTACATAAATTTTGATATTTATTATTTAGATTTTTATTTGAAAAATTAGTTTAATGCATAATTATTTTCAAATACCTGAGAAAGTTTAAATGTTCCTGATTTACCTGTGAATGTAAATTTATACATTAAATAATTTGATATTTTTGATCTATCATAACCTTATGCAAAGTAAAATCTTCATAACATTGATATCAATCAAAATAAGCATATAAGTATAATCTTGTTAATGTATATTTTAATTTAATTTTGCACATAATATCAAAATTAATTTTATTAAATTAATTAAGTAAAAATAAAATGAAATAAACTCTTGCTCATTTTAAAATTTGATAGTAGGAAGAGAGATTGATATCATACTCCAGAACCAAATGCCAAATTACAACACATTCAAACATTAACTAAACGCAAGAAAATACATTTATAGAATATATGAGAAACGGGTGCTAGAAATATAAGAATAGATCATTCGAGATGTAATTTAAGAAAATTGGGAACATGACAAAAATAGGGGATTCCATGCAAAATATGAGACAATAAGGGAGGAACCAAACACTGAACACATCATCCAAGAATTAGGGTTTCATTGCACCTGAGCTGGACCGAAGTTGTGTGTACAATTGTAGCGCTGACGTGGTTCTGACGTGTACACTTAGCGAGTCGGTTATAGGAGGAGATCACCTACGACCGCACTCCCTTTGACCCTCACTTAATTCCATTCCCAAAAGACGGGTTTATCGGAATTCAGTGTGTGGCTCCGGCCCGACATCATGAATCCTACGGCACAATATCACTTATCTCTGGGAATCGACGGCAGTCAGAGCTTCAGGGAGGGGGAGGGGGGGCTACGGAATCTTCTAGAGGGGGGAGGGGATCCACGCGGGTCGGGCAATGGGCTACCCGTGCCGCGCCCGCGATCGGGTTTAGCCAGGGTTTATCCATTGATCACGGTTGTCGTCGTCGTCGTTGTCGTCGTCGTCAGTTGCAAATAGAGTTTTCTAGAATTCTGCTCCGGCACCTCATTTTAGCAGGATTTCTGCAACCTTACAACATATATTGCGGAGACGGAATTGCCAGAAATTCCAGCGTAGGGACTGATTGCTCATCGGCTTGCCGAGCAACTCCGTGTTTTACTTACTTACACTTTGGAGAGTGGCTGGCAATTGTTGTAGAATCGGGAGCTGGACGTTGAAAATATAGTTTTAGGTTTCGGTGTTTTGGGAGAGGTAGGAATGGCGACCGCTGCCTCGTTCGCCACTGTCCGAGGACCTGCTGCTGCTGGGCGAGCTTCCTATGATAGGGTGAGTTTTTTCTGCTGCACTGCTCGTATTGCTTGGCACTTTAATTCGGGCTTGCTTGATTACTTGTTTTGACTCACTGGTAGTCAAATTTCAATATATTCACTTCTATTGTTTTAATCGACTCTGTTAATTTACAATAGGAAAGTGTTGGCATTCATGTGCATTTTGAATTTTTGAGGATTTGAAGCAATGGAGAGTGTCGTTTCAAGTTTAGGCGACGCTGTCAATTTGAAGCTGTTCTTTTTCTTTTCTTTACTTTTCTTCTTCAAACTTATAAGTATTGCAGAGTTCATTCACCACAATGCTGAATTTGTTGGCTTGGTGTTGGTCTGCATCAAAGCAGAGTTCAGCTTCACCCGTTTCAGCTTCTCCAATTGGTAACCTCTCGCAGAAAAGAACCTCTTTCCTGCTCAGTCAGAGAACCGTGTTGAGGTCTGCCGCCTCCATCTCAGGAAGGGCTTGCGAATTCAACGTCTTCTTCCGACCAAAGGTGGCCACGGGTGCCGTTTCCGGTCGAACTGGCGTTAGGTGCGATGCAACGGTTGCTGAGAAAGAATCTCCAGTGGAGAAGTACGAATATCAAGCGGAGGTGATCACTCTACTACATGACTACTAGTGCATTTTTTTTTGTGATGATTGCTCATATAAATGTCTTCTTTGCTATTGATGAGATTTCTTAGTAGAATTTCCGTTGTCGTTAGGAATACCTTCAATTTATCTTTTGTTTTCTTCTATTTTTCAATATTTATCAAATCACAGATTCCGCTGTGGTGATAATTGCGGAGCGTGAAGAGTCGTAGTAATGCGTAGTAATTTTGTAGTCACGATATTTTAAGCATGCTGCAGTTGAGATATGGTGTCTTGAACTTCTTTCCTGATGTTCGTTTCACTCTTCTAAAACATTTTTGATACCTCGCAGGTCAGTCGATTGATGGATTTAATTGTACACAGCCTTTACAGCCACAAGGAAGTCTTCCTTCGGGAGCTTGTTAGGTATAATAGTCGATAAACCTCGTAGTATTGTTGTGTTTGGCTCTCATGTTAGTTTGGAAAAGCAGAACATAGAGTTCCAATAATGGAATGACCGGCATAACTTCAAAAGGAGAATTCGGAATTAAGAATTGTGATTCACCAGGTCGCTGGGTATTTTAAAAAAAATTATCGTTGTTAATGTGTTGGACTAACCTAATATTCTTGTCCGTGTTGTTGCTTCAGCAATGCGAGTGATGCCTTGGACAAGTTGCGGTTCCTCAGCGTGACAGAACCGACGCTTATGGAGCCCAACCCCAATATGGAGATCCGCATCAAGGCAGACAGGGATGCTGGAGTTATTACTCTTATGTGAGTACACATTTTTTTTTTTAGATTGACTGTATGTCTTGTGTATGGTGATGGTCAGCTTGTAGGATGGCAGAGTGTAAGAGAAACCTGGGATTTGATCAAGAGAAGTTAGGTTGGGAATAGAAAAAAAATTAATTAGAGATTTTCCCCGTCAGTTGCAGTTAGACTGATGGGTCACCCTGAATTTCTCGCCTATTTACAGTGATACCGGGATCGGCATGACTCGTGAAGAGCTCGTGGATAGTTTGGGTACAATTGCTCAAAGTGGTACCGCAAAGTTTATGAAGGCAATGAAGGTTGGTAATTTATGTGGCAGAGTTTACATTTCTCTAGGCTGGAGTTGTGTACCAATTCTCGTGTATATCTGTTCCAGTCGAGTATTTTAGACCACATTTCTTGTTCTTCGCACGGATATGGCAGAATACTACTTGCATTAATTTGTAATCCTCTTTGGATCAACATCTGATTGAAACACTGGAACTTTTTTGCAGGAAAACAAGGAAAACACCAATGACAACCTGATTGGGCAGTTTGGTGTGGGTTTCTACTCTGCATTTTTAGTTGCTCAGAAGGTTGTTGTATCAACCAAGAGCGTCAAGTCCGATAAGCAGTACGTCTGGGAAGCCGAGGCTGATAGTGGGTCGTACACTATCCGGGAAGAGACGGATTCTGAGAAGATGATCCCTCGTGGAACTGTCATCACACTCTACCTGAAGGTAGTTTTTCGAAGATTCTATCCCTTGCTCTGAATGTTAATTAACTTAGTAGATCCTGTTTCTCATGGATTGTGTGGGATTCGCAGGAAGATGAGAAATTCGAGTACGCAGATCCCGTTAGAATAGAGAATCTTGTCAAGAACTACTCTCAGTTCATCTCCTTCCCCATCTACACGTGGCAGGAGAAGTCCCGCGAAGTAGAGGTAAGTCACATCATGAAAGTGTCTCAGCACAGGTTATTTCTGGTGTAGTATCTTGTCCGACATTACAGTGTGAGCTATGATCAAGACACAGTAACTGAATTCATAGTATTTTATTCCTCACTCAGGTCGAGGATACGGAGAGTGAAGACTCCACGGAGGAAGACAAGTTAAAGGAGAAGAAAATGAAGAAGATAACCGAGAAGTACATGGATTGGGAGCTTGTTAATGAAACGAAGCCTATCTGGGTAAGTCTTATTTGATGTGTCTTTCTCCAAATTAGTTATATTTTTCTGGGACCAGATTAGCTCTGTTACTGAATCTCTTTTTACAATCAATTTGCCTTATTTTTAGTTGAGTATTCATCCTGAAAATTTTGACGCAGTTGCGGAATTCGAAGGAGGTATCAAAGGAGGACTACAACACCTTCTACAAGAGTACTTTTAAGGAATTTATTGATCCCCAGGCCTATATTCACTTCAGCACTGAGGTACATGGGCGCCGTTGAAATTTTGTCACATACTTTGGGACAAATGAAATTTTCTGTGATCTTAGCACATGGACAATTTCTGCTGGTGTAATTTTTTATGTTGCTCGGTTATGAATTCATTATCCATCAATGCGTTTTTCGTGTTGGGCAGGGAGAAATTGAGTTCAAAAGCTTACTGTATATTCCGGGGATGGCACCATTCAATTCGGAGGATATGGTCAGTGGAAAGACCAAAAACATTCGATTGTATGTGAAGAGAGTTTTCATCTCAGATGAGTTCGACGGGGAGCTGGTAAGCTGCCAAGATTGGATGTGGCATGAATTGTACTCCTGATTCTTTATCGCATCGGATTAGACCTTCGTGATTGCTATGGAATCTTTGGACTGTCTGAAATAATGTGGCGCTTTTATTTTATTTTATTTTATTTTATTTTATTTTTTCTGATGATAACACGATATTAACTAAACCGAGTGCTTATTAGAAGCGATATTTGGATACTCAGTAGATTCTGACGCTTCGGAATGGTGTTGCAGTTTCCGAGATACTTGGGTTTTGTTAAGGGTGTGGTGGATTCCAACGACTTGCCTCTGAATGTGTCTCGTGAAATTCTACAAGAGAGCCGCATCGTAAGTCTTTCTATAATTCATGAACTCTTACCCCGTTACTTGAGGTGTACTGAAAATAAATGATAGTCCGTTAGAGCTAGCCACTTCGAATGGGAACTTGAACGTGTACAGATCTAATAAGTGCAAGCCGAACCTTTATCAACTGTCAGTTAAACCCGAGTGGATGTCCGTTTTTGCACTCGGTTCTGTTATCTCTTATTGCTGAACATGGCTTGCTTGCTGGAACGCAGGTTCGTATTATGAAGAAGCGACTTGTTAGAAAGACCTTCGACATGATAGAGGAAATAGCAAATCGCGAGAAGCAAGAGGTATCGTGTTGATTTTGGGATTCGAATTATCGATTTTAGTGAATTGCATTTAGCGAATGTGATTTAGATTTGGAAAAGAGACGCATGATCCATTGGAGTAAATTTTGCAAGTTCAATTTGATTTGGCTTAATGCAATGGGCGCAATTAAGTCCTGGATCTGCAGTCTCTCAAATCACTCCAAAGTCACGTTGGTCCTGAAGATATCCGTTCTTCCTTGTATCAGGATTATAAGCAGTTCTGGACGAGCTTTGGAAAGAACTTGAAATTGGGTTGTATCGAAGACACTGCTAACCACAAGAGATTAGGGTCATTGCTTAGATTCAACTCTAGTAAGAAAGAGGAGGAAATGATCAGTCTTGACCAATATGTAGAAGGCATGAAGGAAGATCAGAAGGCAATTTACTACTTGGCTGCAGACTCATTGAAGAGTGCGAAAAGTGCACCTTTCCTAGAGGAGCTTGTTAAAAGGGACATGGAGGTGGGTTCATCGTGAATCCCAGCAAGTTGGTTGTTTCAGTTTTACATCACTGACTCAGAAACCTGGATCTCATTGGAGGTTTGGAATGTTTCAATGTCATTACACTTCTGTACTGACGAGCTTGCGTTCTGGTGCCTTTCAGGTTCTATTCTTGGTGGAACCCATCGATGAAGTTGCTATTACCAACTTGCAATCATACAAAGACAAGAAGTTTGTAGATATCAGCAAAGAAGACCTTGAACTTGGTAATGGATTTTTTTTTTTTTTTTTTTTTTTTTTTAAATTGTTTTCATTGTTTATATTCCGCTACACTCGGATTCGTGTATGGTCTCAGTTGGAAATTATTTTCGGCTGAACACGATGTTCCTTAACTATGTTAAATTTGTTTACACTGTACTTAATTTCTGAGTCATGGACCTCGGGTACTGCAGGAGATGTAGATGAGGAAAAGGAAAAGGAGACTGAAAAGGAGTATAGACTGCTGTGCGACTGGATGAAGCAAAACTTAGGAGACAAGGTTGCCAAGGTCACTGTTTCCAAACGAATCAGCTCCTCACCCTGTGTGCTCGTTTCCGGGAAGTTCGGATGGTCCGCCAATATGGAGAGGTATGGAAGTGCCCACGTTGAATCCTCGCTGAATACTGCAGAGCTAGACGTAGACATTTAGGGCTCACACCATTGCAAGTCAATCACTCGGTACACTTTCTGGAAGGTATGCATTGTATACATCATGCATTAGAATGGTAGTGTTGAGGGGTGATGTGCGATTAGATGAGGTTCAAGTGGATATTCTTCCGTTCCGCCTTTAGAAATCGCTTTGACTTCAGAATGCAGCTGTCGAACAGTTTATGATGTTTCTTGTATGGTTATTTGTGTTTCAGGATTATGAAGGCCCAAACCTTGGGTGACAATTCACAAATGGAGTTCATGAGGGGACGCCGTATCCTTGAAATTAACCCCAACCATCCTATCATTCAGGACTTAAATGTACGTTAGGATTTTCTTTCTTTTAGTTTACTTCCCCAACTTTGACTAATGTATTTGTATGTTATATCTTTACATACGGGCCTTCGCGGTTTTTGTGAAATTCACCTCTAATCGTTGATTCGATCTCCCAAAATTTGCTGCAGGTTGCGTGCAAAGACACTCCTAACAACCCACGTGCTCAGGCGATGGTTAACCTCCTTCATGAGACTGCTCTGCTGTCCAGTGGTTTCACAGTAAGTTCTCACATCGGGCTTTGATTTGTTTATCGCTTATGCTGTTTGAACTGTCGTTTTTTGATATTAGTGTCTGATCACGTGGTAAGTCTAAGTGCTTTCATACAGCGGCTGAGTCAGTATCGGCTTTGTGATGTGCAGCCAGAGAACCCAGCTGAATTTGGAGCACGTGTGTATGAGATGATGGGTCTGGCTTTGATTGGAAAGCAAGGAGGGGAAGAGAAAGCAGAAAGTGTCGAGCAGAGTACACCGTCTGAGGAAGGTGCAACATCGGAGGTTCCTTCCGAGGTTGTCGAGGCCTCGGAAGTCATCGCGGAGAGGGATCCTTGGCAGTCGTAGAGAATCAATTTTGTAGATTATGTTGTGGTGAGGAGGGCTACAAGACGCAACGACAAAGAGTTCTAGTGTAGATTATAATGTTCCCAAGATATTTTAATTTCCCTCGTAGTTCACTCGGCGAATGTTCTATCCCTGGATTATGGGATAAGATCTGAGGATATGGTAATTTTTCCTATTCCAATCAATGCTCTGTAATTGGTCATAATAAAGTAGGAATCAGCACAAATCTTTCAATTTATGCTTTAGTAAAGAGTTGTTAGTACCTCTCCACCAAATGTTTAAGCTGCGTTTAAAACTTGGTTTAGTACCAATATGAAGTTTATAGCTACATACTGACTCTCAGACTCATGTTCACGTCGTTTTCCGAATTTATTATAAATTCATTTTAATTTGCTTTCTTAAAACTCACCATCTGAAACTGGATAATATATAATGAATACAAAAAAAAAAAAAAAAAAAAAAAATGTAATCGACCCAAACTAGCGTCAAAAAAGAGGATGTCTACCTTCAGATATGATGAAATGTGGAGGACTTTGAACTTGAACACTTCCTTTTATTCTGTTATTCGTCTCATGAATTCTTGTCGGTTTAAGATTGAGGTAACGTGTATAAGATATGATCGTAATAACATTTTTCATCATTGTATTGAAGCCCTCAAATGATTGTTATTATACTACTTTATGTTTCTTACTTTATTGAAGTTTCATCAATAAAAATAGCAGATAACATATCACTTACACCAGTAATTAAATTTTTCTTTGAATGACTACGAAGCCAATAATTCAACAAGCTCATACACAATTGACTGTTAAAAAACATAGTCTGAAGGATAAGACAATCTCATCCAATCATGAAAATAACATTTTTATGTTAGTTCAAACACCCAACTATCACAGTACCTTTTTCTCAACAGAAAAGAAACAAAAGGAAAGTTCTACTCCCTTGCAATAGCCTACATGAAGTGATTTCTACACATCTCTGAAGACAGCAGCCAGACAATAAAGAAAAAGCATCAATAGACAGAAACAAGTCCCCATTCCAAATATGCATCTAGATTCATGTGCTTCATTTTTTTAAAAACAAGTTTTGAAACTTTCTCAGTATATACAAATCTAGATGACGTTTCCATTGTCTGTTATATGTAAGCGAAGGAATTGATCTCTGTTGTGATATTATCCTTCTTTGTTATTGGTTATGAAATGGGGGCTACAAAAAATAACACATATTCATCCATCTTAGACCCCACAAACATAAAAACAAGTATAAAAGGTACTGTAACTATGCCTTTTTTCTGTTCTTTCAGAAAAAAGTTTTTTCAGGAGTCTAGAATGGTTGGAATTCCAAATCTCTCCCCTTCCAGCCCTCTCCCATTTTCATGTAAACTTCAGTCCTATTAATAGATGTAGCACTTATTGAACACTTGTTTCTTACCTTGTTATGGAGAAGGATTAAATTGGTGCATACAAAGTGAACTGCAACAAATTTGTGAAGAAGTGGGAATTTCATGTGTTTGTTGAAAGCAAGAGAAGGGATGAGTGGGTGGATACATGTGAAAGAGGGAACACACACAGAGTTGTCATGGGGGCAATACTGAGGCTCTGTCATAACAAGGCCAGGCTTGCATTTCAGCAACCCATCTGGCACCATTGAGTGAGTGAATGAATGAACGACACTGAGTGAGATGGAATGAGAGTGAGTGAGTGAGTGAGTGATATTGAGTGAGAGGGAGGGAGGGTGAGACAGTGTGTGACTGTGACTGGGCTCGAGGGAGTGATACACTTGTAAGTGCACTTCCTTGTTTCCTTATTTCCTTCCTTCCTTCCTTCCTTCCTTGTTGTGTGCCAGTGCCAAGTCCCCCACACATTTCATTGAAGAGAGAGTTCCGAAACAGCAGAAGTTGCAGCAGCCTAGGAGCAAGAGGAGGAGGAGAGGGGCCTCACCCATCCATCAATAATTTCAACTCTCTTCCTCCAATCACCACCTCTGTCAGGCTGACCTTTTCTGCATCCTCTCTGGGCCCAATTTGCCCTTTGTCCTCCTCAATTCAACACAAAAAAGAGCCCCCCCCCCCTCCCCCCCCACTCACATTATAATCACATCACACTATTCATATATTTATATATATATATCTGTGAGATTCTGTGCATGTGTGTGTATATATATAGATATTAAATCAAACCTCAGGTATCATTGTCCTTGTCCAGCACTGCCTACTACCAATCCAACATGTGTCCTATTACTTCTTCTAGGTGTATGCAACCACCAGAATACATGTGAAATAAATTATCCCACAGAGCTTGGGAATTCGTGACTCCACCCATTCCCCCTTTGCAAACAACTTCTCCTTCACCTCACCAGGTTGCCACCCACTGTGGAGCATTGACATTTTCCTGCTCTGGAAAATATCCAGGAAGAGGTGAAGACAGAACAGATGGAGTGAGAGACGAAGACTGTTCTGCAGAGGAATCAATGGAAGGAATCTATCAGGAAGGCTCTGTTTTTATTTTCTATGTCACTGTCTGAGCATGGGGTACCTATTGAGGGCCAGAGCTCATCATATAAAAACCATTTATATATATTTGTATATATCACTCTCTCTGCCCAGTGATGTACTTTGATTGCTGCCAGTAGCATAGATGCTTCAATGTGCCCACTGCACATCAACTGCTGCCAATTAGTAAAATAGTTATAAACAACTATTTTATTTTCATTATAAAGGACTGAATGTGGTATTGATGCTGTTTGCAGTTCATGCCAATTTGGGAAAGAATGCTTTCCAGAATGAAGGCACACTCTCAGCAGCATTCAACACACCTTTTCCTGTGCTTTTTTTTAACAGAGAAGAAGAAATAAAGAAAACAAAAGAAATGGCATGGTCTTTTAAAGGCAGCACTGCTGCTTTTTGTTTTTTTAATACTATGAACCTTGTTGGCAAAGTGCCAGGAGACTAACTGCCATATCTGTCAACTTGGATGCTCTAGGTGGAGCAATTTCTCTTGAGCTACTTCCATGTTGCAGCAGATCCCTAGAACTCCTGGATGGAACAAAGGAAGGAATACATGAATCCTTCACCTGTTTCGTAATCCATTCAAATTCACTGCTCACACCAACATTATTAAAAAAATTACATGTATGAATATATATATATATATATATATATATATACACAAACTACAATGGTTTGGTGTTTGAATAACCCTCATTCTCCTTGTAATCCTTTTTCTGTGTGCTTGTTTGTTATGTTTTATAATTCTGTTTATATGTTTATCTGGGTTCTAGAATAGACCAATACCACCAACAACTGTCCCTTTTTGAGTGTGGGTTTGTGTGTGAAGGAAGGGGTTGGTGCTTTGTCATGTCAACTGTAGAATGGAATCATTTCTGTGTGGTGGTGACCATTAGGGTGGATTCCTGTGTGCCAAGGATGATCCACAAATAGACAAACTGTTATTAAAGAGAAAAAAAAAAGAAAACCTCTTTGGGATAGGAGGACTGGGTTTGTGTGGACTAACAAAACCAAGTCATCCAAGTCACAATCATTGACCCACCCCTCCCTTTTCTCCTCATGTGGTGTCAAACATGCTTTTGAATCCCCCCCTCCCCCCTATTATTATTATTATTATTATGAAGTAGCCCCATTTATTGCATTTCCAATAATCCACTAGTTGCATCCATGATTGAGAGGCCCCCCAGGTTGCCCTCCACACCCTTACAATGGTCAACTTTTATAAGCTATATATTTAAAGAGGTGGCACACAATTATAGGGAGTTTTTATGTTGTAAGAAGGTCTGAGGCCAATCCAAAACTTGTAGTTGGTTGAGATTAGGGAGTTTTATTTGGTTGGTTTTATACTTGGGAAAATTAGCCAACCTGCCATGTACTGGCATAGAATAATTTTTTAACCTACTTCACATGAAGAATGTTGTCAACTAAAATTTTCAATAAGTCTACTAAAAACACAAGATTTTTATAAAAATAGATTAATTAAATAACCATGTCAATAAATTTGATATATACAATAATAAAAATATATGGCTTGAGCTACAACCATATCCTATATTACCATATGCACATCTATTATATCTATACACACACTGCATGCATTTGATTGGCTTATGCAAATCTTTCTCTTTCTTTTTTTTTTTTTTTTTCTTTTTCCATCTTCGCACAAGTATCAAATCTCTTCCATCTCTTCCTTGCCTTTCCATGGGTCCTACACCTCATGTCTTTCTTCCTTGCCCTGACAAGGATATCACCACCAAGACAAGAAAAAAGAGTAGGAGTTGAGACATACGTCAAGACAAAGAAGAGGAGGAGATTGAGACCTACATTAAGTCAAAGAAGAAGAGGAGTAGACCAAGACATGTACTAGGGCAAGGAAGAAAGAGAAGAGATGTAGGACTTATACCAAGACAAAGAAGAAAGTGAAGAAGGATTGGGACATGGGCTAGGATAAAGAAGAAAGAAAGAAGGGGACAAAGACCTTGATTGGAGCAAAGAAGAGATGAAAGAGGAGATCAAGACCCATACTAAGACAAGGAAGAAAGAGAGGAGGGAATTGGAACCTACACTACGATAAAGAAGAAAAGAAGGCAGTCAAGGACGTGTGCCAAGGTAAAAAAAATGATATTTGGATCAACCAATCAAAAGCTTTGGGTGTCTATATAGACATAATAGGTAAGTAAATAGCAATTTGAAGTGTGCTTGTAGCCTAAATCCAAAAATATAAATTATTATAACTTTTTCACATAAAAATAGAAATATTAACAATAATAATTACTATATTAAAATTCATTGTGTTCTTTTACTTAGATAAAATACAAGTTGAAATAGTGACTATTATTATTTTATGCTTAATATAAATTGATGTAATGATAACTCAATGGAAAGTTGATGGTTACAAAAATTTATTTTGGATCTTTATCAATAAAGATAAAACATGTTATTTGTGAATACATTCTACCAAAAAAAAATTTATTACCTAAGAAAACTAAATAAGTACTAAAAAGATTCACAAAAAATGTATAAAAAAAATTGTTGAAATAATAAGATTGTAACAAAAAAAAAAATTAAAATAATAATTAAAATTATAAAAATAATAGATATCTTATTCTAGAGATTTAGAAAAGAATATTAATATATATAAATTTAATTTATAAATAAAGGCATTCTAATAATTATGGATTAGATATTATTATATCAAAGTTAGATAAAACTACAAAGTCAATATAATATATATTTTTTAACAAAAACAAATATGTATGTATATATGTATGTATGTGTGTATGTATGTATATACTTAATAATTAATTTTAAAATGACTTATT